TTGAAATGGTTTCAAAACAAAAACAAGAAGTTCAATAAACATAAATCTGTTTTCAAAGAAAAGATAATGGTAAAACTAATTTGAAGATTTGAAGGACACGTCCTGCTGTGCCAAAAACATTCTTCACTACTCGTTAAAATAAAGTAAATTGCAAAGATTTCAAATTTTATCGTTATCTAATTAAAGACCAATGATAACAAAAATGTTTTCAATTTCTATTAAATTTGCTCTCCTCATACATGTGCGCAAAATTAAAGCTAGAGAAGCTACGAGGTCACAAAGTTGTACTGGTGATGTCGTAAACCATCTGTCTAGTTTGCAGGGAGTGTTAGGACATTTATTAGACAGAGCATGTTTATGCATGTAAGCAAAGCCGCGAATATATTAACTGCTAAAAGTCCCGTTATATAAAATAAGTTTATCAGATATAATGAAATGTATAACACTAGGCTATTAACTTTTAATTGCTGCTCTATTAAACAGTTTTTTAAAATGTAGTTTAAAATATATAAATTATATAAATAAAGCACATATTTCGATAAGCATCCTATGAAGAGTAATGTATGGGTGGAGAAGGGGGGGGGGTATAGTTTATGAAAACTGCACTTGTTAGGGGGGAATAAATTTTTGTTAATTTAAAAAACAGAAGAGCTAATTTATGCTTGTTTGTTTCTAGTGCAAATGCGCTACCATCTTCTCATGAACTTATTAAGAAATTGTATACTTTTTCTGTGACACCCTGTCTACCTTAAATCAAATTAATAGATAATGGTTTAAACTCGATTGATATAAGCGCCGGTAATTTCAACGATGTATGGAACAACGTCGTAGTTATCTTGTGTTAGTGGTTAAAACTCCCAATTCTCTGGTTTAAGAAAATTAGATAAAATTATTCATTTTTTAAATTTCTCTAACCAAGCCTGTCATCCTAATTGAGTTTAATAGTATTATGCGGGAAATTGTACAATTCACATAAAATTATATAAAAACTATAGAATACAGAGAGAAATCTTTTTAAAATCTTCATTTGCTTTGAATGAATTGTGAAGTGCCATAAGCAATTCACACCAAGTATCATTGTAACTCAACATTGCAGACTTGGATGACATCAATTAATCCCAATAACTGTCATTCTAAAGGGAATTTAAATGTAATTTAAAGTGACCCTCTATGGATTCAAAGATGTCAATACCTGATTTACAAGGGTACACTTGAAATCTTTGTCTGATCAGTATAAATTAAATATCAATATGTTTGTTTCTTTAAGCTGTTAATTTTAATTTTTGGTTCTTCGTGAAAATGACTTGCGCATTTCGTGATTATAAGAAGCATTGGAGAAACTCTCAGAGGTATACACTTTTCAGGTTGGAAAAACGAGGGTATCCTCCATATTTTTGATCAGATTAAAGTTTCAAGGGTACCGTTGTAAATCGGACATTGCTATCGATATATCTTATATATATCCATTTGTCTATCTGTCTATCTATCTAACTATCTTTGCATTGAGGGTCTCTTAAGTAAACAAAGAAAATTCTAATTAGAAAGTGAATGAGAGTCATTATGAAAAGATACATTGACAGTTAATTGCAACTCATAAACATTTAGATAAAGCGAGAAGACAGCCTTATTCACACACAAAGAATACATGCATATATTAATTGTGTAGTTTAAGTTTGTTAAGTTATAGTTTAATTACTTCTAAAATTTTATAACGGCGTCCCCCCCCCCTCTTTAATATTTAATTAATATCAAGTTTAATATCAAGTGTAGATTTTGTATATCTGCAATATGCTTATCCGGTAAAGTTATTCTCCAAACTAGATTTTGTACACCTTGGAAGGAAGAGTTTCAAAAAAAAATACGATAAATCCGACTATCTGTAGATATTGAGAGACAAGTGAAGATATATTAATCTCTATTGGATTCTTTATATCTTAAATAGTAATCTCTGTTTGTTTGTATGTCCGATCATAACTCAGGAACCACTTGACCGATTTGCTTCAAATTTTGACTGGGGAACTCGGGAATATTCTTGGCTTTGCTTTGAGATTCTCAGTGGAGTGGATCGACTTTAAAAGGAAAAATAGTCAAAATCATAATTTAAGACGAAGCTTGGGTTAACGGCTTGAGTAACTATGAGTAACCTGGGCAACACCGGGTACTTCAGCTAGGTCTGTACAAATCTATTTATAAATGTATAAATATTATGTACAGGTATTCCCCATTTTTAGATGTGTGTACTATTTATCAAATTAGATTATTAAATAAAGCGGATTGTTTTGATAAACTAGGGGGAACTTCAAAGGGTTGTTCTTTCTTTTGATAGATACAATCTTAAGTTGTAAATTTTACAATATAAGAATATGGGTTTTAATATTTTGGTTGTGATTTTCAAACTAAATTATCTGCCTTAAATATTTGCAACCTTAAGTCGTAGACCTCTGATATTTCAAACTAGGAATTCTGCATAAAATGACTGAAATATTTATGTGATTTTAAGTAATCTATTTCTTAGCAATTATCATAGTGATCCAAAGGTTGTAAGCTCTAACACAAAAATCGTTTCTAGTTTTGCCAAGTAAGTTAAGACACTTCAAAAGGCGACCCAGTTAAAAAATTATGCATTTTTTCATATGCTGAAACTATGTGATATTTAATGCTGTTGGTCCAAATATTTTCTTATTTTGTCAACTCAGTCTTTGAACGGAGGTATGTAAAGAGATCACATATAATGTAATTTAGATTAGGGTATTAACCCTGGAAATGGGAGTTTAATGTTAGGTTTAGTAAACACAACTAATGGTTTGATTACTTTTATAATGGTTTTACGCCTTCCGTTCTTTCTTTCCTTTATCCTTCACCCTGTCCCACCGTATCATCTGATTGTATTTTCCAAACCCCCCCCCCTCCTCCCTTATCTTGGGGGGGGGGGATGTCATTCTTTACCTGGGGGCGAAATATTTGCTAAAATAAAATGCTAAGCCTAAAATTAAATATAAAATGTTAGATCTAAAAATTTGAAGAAAAAGTATTAAAAAATATTAAAGCTTTATAAAATATTGTTTTTTGGAAAATTATATTTATGTGCGTTCCATGGCATCATTAACCACAAGAAGATGCCTAAAATTCACTACACTGAAGGCGAACATGAAATATATGCGGAATTACTTGTACGACATTGTGACTGCACGTAGTTCCTTTAGTTTTAATTTTAAGCAACAGAAATGCAAAACAACTAAGTTTTGCAATAATTCTTAAATGAAAGGAGTGAAATTCACTTAATTTTCACGTTCCCCCCTTTTCCCAAAAGTTGTATTATTTTAAATGTTTTCTGGGACTCCTCTCTCTTCTGTGTTGGAATAACGGGTTGGATAGATTATTCTACTAAGAATCCAGCGTAATTTAACCCTGATCAATATTTATTATCAACAGTTTTCAGACCTTATTCAGCTTCATCCCTCTCCACTTCAAACCCATCTTCCCTATAATTGAGATCTTTAACCTGCCCAAGGAGGGAGGGGGTGCAGGGCCGCCATCAGCCCCGCGCAATGGTCTCCAAGCCTCTGGATTAGTTGATTAGTATTTAAAATGATCTGGTGCTACTTCAGAATAGAGAATATGATAACTTAAAAAAAATAAAAAAAAAATTTTTAAGTTATGCAATGTTTTTTGAATATTCAATAAAACACGGCATAACAATTTAAAGATTAAATAATACAGAAGTTAAAAATGTTATTTTAACTTCTATAATAGCTATTCTAACGTTTAGGGGTAGCACCAGATCATTTTGAATCATCATGTACGAATCAAGTTACTGGAAGACCAATTAGCGGGGCTCATGGCGGCCTTGCACCCCCTTCCTCGCCCATTCAGTGCAGTTAAAGGAATCCCATCATTTATTTCTTTGTTTTCATTTTGGCCCTAATATTAGATTTAAATTCATCAATATTTATGCAGGGCTGAGAGCTGCTGGGGGCTCTGCTAGCTTGTTTATGTAAAACTAAGTAGGCATCATTTATTTTATTCTAATGCGCTAAATACCTTAGGACAGCCCTGTAAAAATTGTTCAGAGAAAAATTCAAAATATTTTTATTTTGGACCATTTTTTCCGGTGCCGGCGGAAAAAAACGTGATTTTTTGGCCATTTTTGAACTTTATGATTTTATTTCTTAAAACTTTTATAAAATCCAAAATTTTTGACTGTGAATAATGTTTTATATTATTTTGGAAATCCCAGATAATGGTCTAACAGATAAAACCAACTTATACTGAATACTTTTAAAAAACCATAGTTTTATAAGCAGTTTTAGCTCCAAAATCATCGATTTTATTGATGCGCACTTGCACCTCGCTAACATACCCTGAGAACTGAACAAAAAAAATAATTTTTATTTTCATTTTCTATATTTTATATTTATTCTAAAATGTCATTACTTTTTAAAATACCTTCAAAAATGATCGATGAATGAACAGTTCAAAAAACTCCGTTTTTTGGAGTTTTTTGAAAATTGTAACTCTCTTATAATTTAATGACTTGTTTGGACGTTTTTAACTTGTTCTTTTAAACTGTTCATAAAATACATAGTTTTCCACTTGGAATGTTGTTTAATATTATTTTGGAAACCCCAGATACTACTTTATAAGAAAATATTTTTAAAAAAGAATTTAAATTGTTGAACTGCACTTGTTAGGTAGTATATACTATGGATATAGTTAATGAAAACTGCACTTGTTAGGTGGTATATACTAGGGATATAGTTTATGAAAACTGCACTTGTTTGTTAGGTGGTGTATACTAGGGATATAGTTTATGAAATGAAATTTATATGACATACCTGTTACGTTTAGAAATTCAAAACATTTGTGTTCTTCTTTATTGCTCATAAAGAAGAGGAATTATGATTGAAAATATATAAGAATATAACATAATTTACTTTAGTTAGACGTGAAAGGGTAATAAAATTTTTATTTGCCATTAAATCGACATTTATATTTTTTAGATTACATACATATTGCAGTTCAACGGCATGTTACTACCTCTTGAATTCATCAGGAAGAAGAGTTCCCCAGCCCCCGGGATTACGGTACAAATGAAATCTTTCAAAAAATGTTGTATCCCCCATATCCAGCTGAACTTTATTGCATTTCATTGTCAGCTAAAGTTTATTAAATATTACTCTGTCCTTATTTGCTTCATTCCCAATTCGTCTTACCATAATTTCAGTTTACATTTCCGTGTAGAAATAAAGATATCCCTGATTTTCTATCTGAACATTGATAGTTTTAATTGTTATTTCTCCATAAAACTAACTAGCACATTAATAAAAAAATGTCATTGACGGAATTTAGCAAAAAAAAAAACTAAAATATACACGTAAATAGTTGAAATGTACCTTGTGTATCGGATACACCACTCTAAAAACTAGAATATCCACGTGAATAGTTTAAAGGTACCTAGTGTATCGGATACACCACTCTAAAAACTAGAATATCCACATGAATAGTTTAAAGTTACCTAGTGTATCGGATACACCACTCTAAAAACTAGAATATC